TTATTATTACATAAAATTATAAAATTGTCAAAAAAAATATTATACCTTAGAATTGAAACGAATGCTCGCAAGCTAACAAACAAATTTTCTATTTTATTTTTTAAACAAGCATAATTCTATGAAAACGCTGGACAATGTAAACCACGCATCCTTTCAAAATATCGTAATCTTATGTACGGTAATCCGTCTCCTAAGTTCTCAATTATGGAAATTATGGAAATTTATGTAGTCCTTCTCTGCGCTTGCACGATAGCCGCCATATTTGTTGAACGTGGACAAGCAACTAATGTTTATCCTCCACGTGAATTCTCCGATAATGAACGCGATCTTAGGATGATGCTTACCTCCTGCATCCTGTATAATAAGTTAGTCATTTTGCTTTCGAAAATATCAATTTTTCAAACATTGGCTATTATTGCTTGCCACAAGAAAAATCATATACGACACACATATATTTTTATCATCACCATAAACTTTCATTATTAAACTATCCTCTGACCACTTTGATATATCGAAAACGTCTTCGACGAAGTCTTTATTTGGTCCACGATCGGCAGAAACAAATGGAGTTGTGCCTCCTCTCATTCTTCCACGACACGAATTAACGAGGAACGGCCGAATGGGCGCGAATTATCGACACTCCCCTGTAAATGATGGCGGTTATCGCGTAATAATGCAATTCCAGACACGTTAACCGCATAAAGTTATTAACGACTCGACGGCTGACTCTGTGTTCGCAGCACAAGTTACGCAGAGCGGAATACTCGTTCACGCGTGGGATTATGGTCAGCTCGCTACGGAAATTACAAATATGCGCCCTTCGATGTGATATATCTTGCCACGTCCCACGCCAATTTAACCACCGTGTGACCAGTGAACGAAGAGTATGTATTAATATAATTGGTGTAATGGCATCTTAAGCGTTTCACCGGGAAATCGATCCTTTTAACGTAACTTCTTAAGTAGAATGACGAGAGAAAAAGAGTTCGTGATTTTTTAGAACTTTTTGAAAAACGATTATGCATCTTATTATCACGATCGAATGACAATTGTTACGCGTGTTCAAGGGATGATGGAGAATAATATAGTGTAATAAAAAGAGATTCGTGTTACTGAAATATATTTAATGAAAATGTTTGAAAGAATTTTTCTACAATGTGCAAATAAAAATAAGGAAAGGAGCGTTCGATGATGTTAGAAACACAGAAATTGTAAAGTTAAAATATTTAAATTAATAAAAAAAGAAATGTAAAAGATATTTCTACAATTATATAATTATGAAATAATTAATCGTCTGTTTTTCATTTTTGATATGATACGTCAGATTTGAAATGAAATAAAAAATATTAAAATATTATTATTATTATTATATACGCGGAAGATAGTTATTTGAACGATGCAATAGTAAATTATAGAGCCAACTAGAACAAGTATTGACAGAATTCTTCGCTAATATATATCAAACCTACATCTAAAACGTTCTTTAATCCATCAGTGACGGCGATTGAAAGGGGTTCCATTCGTGTCACGTTCCTTTGTCGGTTGTTCCTTCGATCAGCTCGTTTATCATTCATTGAAGGCACGAGTCGTGGAAAAATAAAATTCGATGACGGTAAATTTGCTTTCGATAAAACGGGGAATGGAATGGGAGAAAATAAATTCTATGCGAACCAATTAAAGGAGATAATTGAAATACGAGAATACCATATTGTTTTTTGATCTTTGGAGACTGAAATTAGCTGAAATAAAAAAAGAAGAAGAAGAAAATGATTTTAGAAAATCAAACGCAATATGCGTTGGGTAATTTAAAATGTTTGTTTTCTTAATAAAATCAAGAACTCGCGAATTTTGAAATCAGATATTGTGTTATGTGCCAAATAATGTTACTTCAAAGCACGGGATAATGCATTATTATACGTGATTCTCTGTTTATATATTTGTATTGAATTCAGTTGTAAAACATTTCACTTCAATTCATATTAAAATTGAAAAAAACTTTAATACATTTTACTAACTAATAATATTAATGAATTAATATTAAAATAAATCCTTTAAAATTTAAAAATTTAATGTGAAATATTATATATCAATAATTAGATCATTCACTTTGGAAAAAATTACCTATAAAATTTCATTTCTGTTATCATTATTACTGTATTAAAGAAAATTTATCTTGTCACTTTAAAAGTACTTTAAGCAAGAAGATTCTTTAATATATTAATATGATATCATTATAATTATAATCGTAACATAACAATATAATATTGTAATAATTACAAAATTACTTTAAAAATTAAGATTACCAGAAAAGAAATAAATTTCTTCTTCTTGATGATGAGAAGGACAGGGTAAATTGAAACTGCATACAATAATATAATTCTTTTTATGCAAAATATACTTTCCAAGTACAAAAAAATTTTTTAAAAAATCGTTAAAGAAAAAATATAATGTAATTACAAATTAATCATATCTCTTTCAAATTTCATTTACTCAATTCTACTGAATTCCCCTCATTCTATCGCTATAAACATTTTTACCAAATTCTTATTTCCACGATAAAGGATGAAATCAAAGCTAAAATACATTTCACACGTCCCTGATTGAGGTTTCGTATCTTCTCCGGTTTCGGTAAATTTACTTGTTCAGACTCTCGTGTGAACGTGTGAACTTTGAAGCCTGACCGATTTTACGACCTCGATACACACACACACACACCACTTCACGAAAGTCTCAGACCAAACGTTTGTTACTGGCAGACGTAGAATTTCTAGGATACACTTTGAGAAACTTGTTTTTTTTTTTTCCCGAAAAGAATTGAACGTAATTCAGCAATTGAAGGATGATAAATTTACGGATTGAATTTTGAAAATAAGAAAAAGAATATTGCATGCAGCTTCGTTATGCACACATCGTAATATTACGAAATCGGAAGCAAATATTGAAAATTCGTAGAAATACGAATTTTATTGTATAAAGTAGGGAAAAAGTGATCGTGTTTATTTTAGTAGAGTTTACTTTGTATTTTATTTTTTTTTTTTGTTTCTTAGATAATGCATTAGATATATCGTACACGATAAGTTTAACATTCACGAATAGAGATTGTTTAAAATGATTAAATCATTTTAAAATTTCCTTCTTGATATAAATTTTGACACGAATGTAGTACATCGGTATACTGTATTCTAATTTTCGTTAGAAATAATTATGATATCACATGATGTTACAATATTACATCACACTAATAATATTTAATTCTTTTGATCGAGACAGTTTTGAAATATACCTTAAAAATCACCTTACGCATATTTTGTTCACGCTAATCAGCACGAAACGCGTGTAACTGGTGGTTAAAGCCAAAGGCTTGAACCTCGTCAAAGTAATTCGTTTCTGGCAATGTGAAATTTAGGTATCGCGCAAACTGCAAAATTCGATTACTCCGTTGAGATTATACGACTTTGATATAAAGCCGTCTAATGACTATTTTAAACATTTAGATTACCGATAAATTAACATAACTCGCGGTGAGACGTTCCATCACTCCGAAACTTCTAAACAAATATTTGCAAATTTTGATTTAAATAACGCGTGGAGTTTCTGATGATTTAGCGCATCAATTTGGATAATTGGATAAAGTTTGGGTGAAAATGTTATTGGCTGGTATTATATCCTTCGGCACGTGCGCCTCTTAATTTTTGTTTAATCAAATTTTGTTTTCAAATTTCAATCGTTGCATCGTAATTCATTCTATTTATCGCATAGTTTATACGTAGTTCTATTCACGAAATATTATCAGTTAGCCCTTTGATTCATATCGATCTGTCTTGAACAAATTATTAACCATTCGTGTGCATGATAAGAGTTGTTATTAATTTGAAAAGATACTTATCAATACAATTTTTTAAACTGAGACAAGCTGTACTTCATAATTTCTCTTCCGATTCTATTCAAAATCTCGACTCGATTCTGCACAAATATTCGACGATTTCATTTAGGAAAGGTAGAAAACTCGTAAAATCCACTTCCAACGATTTCCAATCCCAAAACAATAAGAAGAGAAAACGGAAAAGGGAAGCGAAAAGAAAGGAAGAAGCAAAACCATGTACTTTTCGATCGGCTCAACCCAAAACTCGCTATCGTCGAAAATCAAGGATTCGATTCGAAAAACAAGTGGAATTCTCGCATTTGGCAAGCTCGACGAGCGTTCGTCGAAGCGCACCAATACGAATCTCGAGCAGTGAAATATTTTCGAAAAATCGGAACGTTTCTATCCCGGAACCCGAGCCCAACGACAATATCATCCAGGAATTTCTGACAAACGTGATCTTATCGCGAAACGTGTTCATTGCTCGACCTGGTTTCCAAATCCTTTCGCCAAGATATCTTACATTGATTGTCGAATTAGAATTCTTATCCTAGGATTAAGACAGACTTCCTCAAATTGAAAGATTTTATGTTTTAACATTGTTTTCCATTTTTGTAAGAAAGATATAGCGCGTTCTATTACAAAATTATTCTTTAAAGAATAATTTTTCTCGTGTATGACGAACATAAGAAATATCCTTCAGAGATCCTTTATAATATTCAATTATAAACGATGAAGTCATCCGAAGTTTTATTAATTAAGTATTTGCCGGCCAGGAATTCTCAAGACAAATTTCTAAAAATTAAATCCTCTTATTCCCCCCATTCAACATATATAACAACATATGAAAGAAATATACCTCCAAATAGATCAAATAATATCAACCAAATAGGAATTTTGATCTTTTCCATTTCGCTACTCGTTGCATAATTTTCACTCGCAAAGAAGAGTTCTTCTTTTTCTATATAAATTATCCAGGTGGTGCACAAAGAAATCAAAGATATTAAATTCGATCCAAGAAACGAATTCTTCCCTATAGAAATAAAATCTAAAAAAAAAAGAAAAGAAAAAAAAAAAAAGATCGATTCATCTCGTCACCTGTTGTTTTTCTTTTCTTTTTTTTCCCTGTCTATCGCAGGAGTGACCATTCTACTGTCGCTGACAGTATTCCTGAACCTCGTGGCAGAAAGCATGCCGACCACCTCGGACGCTGTCCCTCTAATAGGTACCTACGAATTATATAAATCAAACAAGCTAAGCTAAGCGTGCTGTGCTGTGTTCCAGTGTTTTTTTTCCTCTCTCTGTCTCTCTCTCTCTCTCTCTCTTTCTCTCTCTCTCTCT